CACATACCCTTGCAGTAATACCACACATACCCTTGCAGTAATACCAAACATACCATTACATTAATACCATACCTACCGCGAATTCGGGAGGGACTGTGCAGTACCCAATAGATAATTGACTGTTACATGGGCAGATGTGTGGCCAAGTGAGCAGACGACGCTTTAAACAGGTGATTTCTTGTCTTCCATTTCCCAACAGGCCATCAAGAAACCTCGCCTTGGTGATGTGTTGTGGTAGCCAGTTGTAGGTTGGTGACGTCTCGCTACCCTGGTGAAGAGAGTCAGTTGTTGGTGCGTTGTTGAGCACAAGGTGTTGTACAAAGGGTATTTTACACAGGGTGTTGTACATAAGGTTTTTTTACGCATCTTTATTTGAAATGGTGGTATGTGATAAGATTATCACTTTTTATTTATTTCGTTAATGGAGAAAGCCTGGCATGTTAACAAAAGTCTGGCATGTTACCAAATGTCTGGCATGTCACCAAAAGTCTGGCATGTTACCAAATGTCTGGCATGTTACCAAATGTCTGGCATGTTACCAAAAGTCTGGCATGTTACCAAAAGTCAGACACGTTACCAAATGTATGGCATGTTACCAAATGTCTGTGATGTTACCAAAAGTTTGGCACGTTACTTAATTGCAAAAGTAAAGAATCTATTTTGAACATTCTCAAATAATTCATGTTGTTTATTGTTAGTATTGAGCATGTACCTCTCTGCTGACATCGTCAACACACCCTTGGTGTACTTTTGACCGACTTGTCTGTCTACGGCTTACATCGTCAACACAGCGGGGGTGTACTTTAGTTCGACTTGTCTGTCTACGGCTTACATCGTCAACACAGCCGGGGTGTACTTTAGTTCGACTTGTCTGTCTACGGCTTACATCGTCAACACAGCCGGGGTGTACTTTATTTAGACTTACCTGTGCCAGGGAAGACTTCAGCTCCAGACATTTCCAGGGTAGTTTGTTGCTCTGCTGGTGAATAACAATCTCCACCTTTTCATCTATGTTATGGGATTCAACAGTAGCTAAAATTAAACCATACCTGAGTGCTGAAATCTACGAGTAGCTCTATAGGATTCAACAGTAGCTAAAATTAAACCATACTTGAGTGTTGAAATCTACGAGTAGCTCTGCTGTTATTTTTGTTTTCAATTTTTTTTTTTTAAAGTCTACAAATCACAATTTAAAGCTTTCACATTATCATGTACATTAAGGCTAAATAATGAAACAAAGTAAAATTAATCTTTTAAGTGTAGTCGTTTCACACTGTATCCTGCCGACAACGCCAAAATTGTAGCTGTGTCGCGGTGTGGCTTGTTACAGTTTAAAAATCACAATTAAACATTTAGGTCTGAGAACTAGAGCTTCCTTATTATGCAGGCACAATAACTGACAGCCTCATAAGCTGTTTTCACACACACAGTGACTGTGAACATGGATTAAAAAAATCTTGTCACAGTAGCGTGTTTTCGTTGCCCCATAAGGTGGCACCCTACCAACATAGGTGCGACCCAGCCACATAGAAAAATGTTATAAAAATGCAGTTTACAAAAGATGGCACATTGCCACATTAGATAATTGAACCTTGACGTTATATTTTCTTTTGTTATTTTATGAAATAGTGAAATAAATCTGCGGTTTAAAAGTGGGTGGGACATTAGTGACTTTAGAATATTTGTATAAAAATAAAGTCATAAAAAATCCATATGAAGGATTTATCAGCAAAAGTTTGTCTTTATGGGTTGTTTCATTTATATTCCCCCAAATCCCCCCCCCCCCGCCCCCTGGCTTAAATAGCTTCGTTTCGCCTGCTGGATTCCCATATTCAATGTTGTTCGCCAGCCGGATCTATGATAAGTGTTACTCTCTCACCCGTCAATTTCGATCTAGGCACCAACGTAATGCATTACAAGAAGATGAAATAGTATAAATATAGTCACTAAGGCAACGTCAAAACTTACCCAACAAAGTATCTTTGTCTCGTTCACGAAACAAAGATGGTGAATTGATATGGTGATGGGCTGCAGGGACTAGACACCGAGCTGGTACCAGGGAACGTCGAAGATGTGAAACCATCAACATTGCTATACACTTCACCTGCCCCCTTATTGAAAGAAGAAAACAAATAAAAGTAGTTGAAGCAGACGTGCCTTTCAAAGATGGCGCTAGGAAGCGGAAGTACGCGACGAACTGAGCACAGAGGACAGTTCTGATAAGAAGGCTTGGAGAGTAAGAAAATATAATTTTTTTGGTGTTGTGCATTTTTAAGAATTGAAGAATGTTTGCGTAGGGTAAAGTCTTTGTTACGCACTGACTTGTATTGGGAGAAATTAATCTCCTATTTTAATTTTAATTGGCTCATGGTAAACAGTGGCTAACAAAGGACGATACCATAGAAGCAACAATATTAAAGACACGACCCAAAACAGTTTCTAGTCACAATTAATAAGATTTATTATGTCTTAAGATAATTACAAAAAAAAAGAAAAATATAATTACAATCTTCAACTTACAGTATGGTAGATCTTGTACCGGTACACAGTTAGAATAATGTGTCAATAGATAATGCGAAATAAACACATATGAGCACACAAATACACAAAGAATAAAACACGCCTCGTAATGTTAAGAATATCTATCTGAAATCTCTCTCCCTCGTCCGTGCCTGTCAATCCCTTATATAGGTGGGTCTACCGAAAACCCAAGCCCTGCCTTCGCGCAGCTACATGACATTTCTAGAACCATCAGATTCATTCTACAAAACACTACTTGGAACAGATTAATTATTTTTAGTAGTTGGCGGCATAAACAAGAATACATCAAAGGCCTAAGCCACACCCCTTTGTGAACACAGCGTCTCATGCGGGGTCAATCAGAGGGCACGCACCAGAAAAAGTATGTAAACAAGCTCTCTAAAACAGTCTTATGATGGCTGAACTTGTAAATCATGGCATGGATTAGTCTTTTGATACCTTAAGCCGTAAATTAACCCATAGTCGTTACTGTACCCATAGTCGTTACTGTACCCATAGTCGTAACTGTACCCATAGTCGTTACTGTACCCATAGTCGTTACTGTACCCATAGTCGTAACTGTACCCATAGTCGTTACTGTACCCATAGTCGTAACTGTACCCATTGCCGTAACTGTACACATTGCCGTAACTGTACCCATAGTCGTAACTTTACCCATAGTCGTAACTGTACCCATAGCCGTAACTGTACCCCAATTTGGGACTGCACCCAAAGTTATAGCGGTACCCAAAGTTGTAACTGTACTCAAAGTTGCAACTGTACTCAAAGTTATAACCGCACCCAAAGTTGTAACTGTACTCAAAGTTGTAACTGTACTCAGAGTTGTAACCGCACCCAAAGTTGTAACTGTACTCAAAGTTGTAACTGTACCCAAAGTTGTAACCGCACCCAAAGTTGTAACTGTACACAAAGTTGTAACTGTACTCAAAGTAGAAACTGTACTCAAAGTTGTAACCGCACCCAAAGTTGTAACTGTACTCAAAAATGTAACTGTACTCAAAGTTGAAACCGCACCCAAAGTTGTAACTGTACTCAAAGTTGTAACTGTACTCAAAGTTGTAACCGCACCCAAAGTTGTAACCGCACCCAAAGTTGTAACTGTACACAAAGTTGCAACTGTACTCAAAGTTGTAACCGCACACAAAGTTGTAACCGCACTCAAAGTTGTAACTGTACACAAAGTTGTAACTGTACACAAAGTTGTAACTGTACTCAAAGTTGTAACCGCACCCAAAGTTGTAACTGTACTCAAAGTTGTAACTGTACACAAAGTTGTAACCGCACCCAAAGTTGTAACTGTACACAAAGTTGTAACTGTACACAAAGTTGTAACCGCACCCAAAGTTGTAACTGTACACAAAGTTGTAACTGTACACAAAGTTGTAACCGCACCCAAAGTTGTAACTGTACACAAAGTTGTAACTGTACACAAAGTTGTAACTGTACACAAAGTTGTAACTGTACACAAAGTTGTAACCGCACACAAAGTTGTAACTGTACACAAAGTTGTAACTGTACACAAATTTGTAATTGTACACTAAGTTGTAACTTTACACAAAGTTGTAACCGCACCCAAAGTTGTAACTGTACACAAAGTTGTAACTGTACACAAAGTTGTAACCGCACCCAAAGTTGTAACTGTACACAAAGTTGTAACTGTACACAAAGTTGCAACTGTACTCAAAGTTGTAACTGTACCCAAAGTTGTAACTGTACACAAAGTTGTAACTGTACACAAAGTCGTAACTGTACACAAAGTTGTAACTGTACACAAAGTTGTAACCGCACCCAAAGTTGTAACCGCACCCAAAGTTGTAACTGTACACAAAGTTGTAACTGTACACAAAGTCGTAACTGTGTACACAACTTCGTAGTTTAGAACAAAAAAAAGGCAGTGGCTGACTCAAAGTCGCATTTATGGACAGAATGTCATAATTGTAGATACAATGTCGTATTTGTAGAGGCAATGTCGTTTGTGTATACACGATGTCAAATAAAATAAAATGTGTCGTATTAGCTAACACCACGTTGCATTTGTCGACACAATGTCGTATTTGCGGAGACAATGCGTTTCATAATAGCCAATGTCTTACCAGGACACTGTCAAAGTGTGTTTGGAGTTTTCGTTTCAAATATGGCATTCATTAATCATATCATAGAAATGTAATAAATCATGAAATGATAACGGGATGATCTTATCAGTCTGTCTGCATTTCTTTACTCGGGGCCAACAAAATAAGGTTGTATTTTTTTTTAACTCAACTACAGTTCATATGATCGAATACTTATTCTGGATGCAGACATATGTAGCCGCACGTCTCCCTCACTCAAACCCGGTCCACCAGTACAAGGATACCAGGTGCACAGCTCACTTTAGATGCACCCATCCCCCTCTCTCACCAGCCAGCGCCGCCCGAACCCACCCACCCCCCCGGGCCCTGTCTTAATCTGTTTATATAATTTTGAAAAATGCCAAGTTCACTAACTCGCCGGCAGCTTACAGCGTGAGTCTGCTCCAGGCCAAACATTGGCGCATGGTGGAGTCGTCAGCAGGTGCGCCCCCCGGGGGCTGGATTAGTGCGTAATCTCTCTAATACCAACACACGCCGGTGCAGGTATACGTTTCTCTTGTCCGAGACATTTCAATTTTTCTGGATCTGCAGTTCCTCCTATGGTTTCTGGATCTGCAGTTCATCCTATGTTTTCTGGATCTGCAGTTCCTCCTATGGTTTCGATACATATGTTGGATCAGAGCGTGGAAGATTTTTTAAAACTGTGTAGTAGAATATTTACAGATATTTTCTAGCGGCTCATATTTTGAATCTCACCTGTTGGCTTAGGTGCTTAACGTGGGCTTTCATTTCATGGTTCGTTGATAAGGTGAGTTTTTTTGTTTTTGTTTGTTTTCTTTGGATGGAGTGTGGTGAAATAAGAAAATAGATGAATGCTAATACTGACTGGCTAAAAAACATTTTTGCCAAGAAATCAAACATTTAATGTTGATGTAGTCTAAGCTTACCTGATGAATCTTTTAAGACCATGAATACATATTGGCACGAGTATTAAAAAATATGCTAATTTTGTAATAATCATGTTGCTTAGTTGTTTGGCCAAAATAATGTGTACATTGGCTTTGTTTCCTACTCGGGACATTGTCTCATAATGTGTACATTGGCTTTGTTTACTACTATAACATTGAATAACATCGTCATCTAATGTGTAAATTGGCTTTGTTTACTACTATAACATCGTCAGATAATGTGTACATTGGATTTGTTTAATACTATGACATCGTCAGATAATGTGTACATTGGCTTTGTTTACTACTCTGACATCGTCAGATAATGTGTACATTGGCTTTGTTTACTACTATGACATCGTCAGATAATGTGTACATGGGCTTTGTTTACTACTATGACATCGTCAGATAATGTATACATTGGCTTTCTTTCCTACTATGACATCATCAGATAATGTGTACCTTGGCTTTGTTTCCAACTATGACATCATCAGATAATGTGTACGTTGGCTTTGTTTCCGACTCAGAACATCGTCTGCTCAGTTATGTTTTTAACAGGGGTTCTTAACCAGGGGTGCAAGCAACATCTAGGGGGTGAGGGGCGTGCCAGGGGGTGCGGCAATAGCCAGAAAATCAGTTTGTTTGACATACTTATTAGGATTTTCTTTTAATCGCGGGAGGATGAGGGAAATATGTCTGGATATTGAGGTGGGTGTGCAGGAAATGTTTGGAAATCAAGGAGTGCTGCGCTAAAAAAAAATGTTAAAAAACCCTGGCTTGGAAGAATAACGTTAAGACAAAGAGGCATATACAAAGCAAAGGATTGATAGGTCCGAGATGGTTTTGGATGCGTCGGACAATACAAAGACATGTTTTCCCATAAATCAGAATGTACATTGTGGCGTGGCAGACTATACAGCAAGTCCTACACCCTACCTGACCGCCGTTAAACAATAGCCCTACAGACAGTCCTACAGACAGTCCTGTTTACAGTCCTACAGACAGTCCTACAGATAGTCTTACAGAAAGTCCTACAGATAGTCCTACAGAAAGTCCTACAGATAGTCCAGTTTACAGTGCTACAGATAGTCCTGTTTACAGTCCTACAGACAGTCCTACAGATAGCCATGTTTACAGTCCTACAGACAGTCCTACAGATAGTCTTTTTTACAGTCCTACAGATAGTCCTTACCTTACCCGTGGTTCTTTAGTGATCAATATAATAGTCGCTTCCGAAGAAATGCAACCTTTTCACCTCAGTTCAATCGGCACGCTAGCTGCTTGACAGCTTTTATTTTTTTCAGTCAGTACCATTGATATAAAATTTGTTGAATATGGGAGGGCCGGTTGTGAAAAGGAAGCAGCCACAACAGAGGCAAAATATATACAAGAGATGTTCTATTTTCTGTATATAAAAGGGTAAGCAATTAAATGAGCTTTCCATGAGGTGCGAATAGCTTCAAATCCTGTTATATACCTACGCACTCCGAAGTTAACTAAATCCTTCTCGCTGACGGCATGGGGCGCCATGTGCACTGGTAGCATCAAGATCATTGAGGGCGCTCGGGGCACTAAAGACTCTAGGAGCACATGGATCATTGAGGGCATGGGCGTAATGGAAGCATGGGCGTAATGGAAGCATGGGCGTAATGGAAGCATGGGCGTAATGGAAGCATGGGCGTAATGGAAGCATGGGCGTAATGGAAGCATGGGCGTAATGGAAGCATGGGCGTAATGGAAGGATGGGCGTAATGGAAGCATGGGCGTAATGGAAGCATTGGGACAAATATTGGGACTTGCTGGCTGATTTTCTCAATTTGGACGTAGCGTTGTTGTTTTTTTCGTTTTTGTGTTGTTATTTTTGAAACCATCTTTCTCCCCCAGGCTTCTCACGCACTGATCAAACATTCACTTTGCTGTCGGCTAGACTTCACAAAGCTCAAACGAGTCTTATGTCAGTGCAGAGTGAGTCTAAAAGGACCCGGGTCCGAATAGCGTCGATGCGTTTCCGGTTCCAGTTTGACTAAATGCTATTCGAATGTCATTAATTGTGGTAGTTTATTTTAGTTAAACTGAAGAAGTAAGTAGACAAACATGTAGCCCATTCAGTTATCTTTCATTTGATACCAAGTTTTGTCTCACAAATCCTACACTAATTTTTACATATTTTTTAACAAACCCAAACTCTCACTTCTCGGACCCGGGTCCGAATAGCCGCAGCCTTTAATTATTGTTTAAAAATATTTAACAGCCACTCCCTCTCTCTCTCTCTTTCTCTCCATCATTCTCTCTCTCTTTCTCTCTCTCCCTCTTTCTCTCTCTCTCTTTCTCTCTCTCTCTTTGTCTCTCTCACTCTACATCAATTCTCTATCTACATAATTCTTTATGTTCATCAATTCTCTAGCAAATTATCTACATCATTCACTATCTAACAATCGACATCAATTCTCGTTCTACATCAGTAGTCTTTCTATATCAAGTCTCTATCTACATCTACGTCATCTAATTCAGTCTTCTATTTACATCAATTCTCAAATACGTCATCTACATCAATTATCTCTCCATAGCATTTCTCTATCTACATCCAAGTCATCTACCTCAATTCTCTATCGACTTCAATTATATATGTACATTAACGTCCTCCACAGCAATTCTCTATCTATATCAATTCTCTATGTACATCAATTCTCTTTGTACATCACTTCTCTATGTGCATCACTTCTCTATGTACATCAATTATCTATGTACATCACTTCTCTGTGAACATCAATTCTCTATGTACATCACTTCTCTATGTACATCAATTCTCTATGTAATCACTTCTCTATGTACATCAATTCTCTATGTACATCACTTCTCTATGTACATCAATTCTCTATGTACATCACTTCTCTATGTACATCAATTCTCTATGTACATCACAACTCTATGTACATCAATTCTCTATGTACATCAATTCGCTATTTACATCATTTTTTTTATGTCCATCAATTCGCTATGTACATCAATTCTCTATGTACATCAATTCTCTATGTACATCAATTCTCTATGTACATCAATACATTTTTTGTGAAAAACATTTAGTTTTTTCTGCTTTGTTTCGGGTTGTTTGTATTTCCCTTGCCTTTTCATTTCTTTGTTAGATTTGTAATGGCTTGGGGTTTCTGGGAGATCTTTTTTTTTTTAAATACCGCCATGTTTTCGGAACATTGCCAGGATGATTTTTTTTGTTTTAAATGTTTAGCCATCCATTGTGCCACATGTACGTCGAAACGCTTACTTTGTTGAGAGATGTTTTCAAGGGGGAAGAGGGGGGGGGAGGGGGTGAAAGATTCACTTTTATTTTGAAGCGATTGTTGGAATAAATATGGTTGAGGATATTATGGCTGATCATATTATGGTTGGTGATGTTATAGTATAGCCATCCATTGTGCCACATGTACGTCGAAACGCTTACTTTGTTGAGAGATGTTTTCAAGGGGGAAGAGGGGGGGGAGGGGGTGAAAGATTCACTTTTATTTTGAAGCGATTGTTGGAATAAATATGGTTGAGGATATTATGGCTGATCATATTATGGTTGGTGATGTTATAGTTGGTGATATAATTGTTGAGAAAGTTATGTTTGAGGATTTTATGGTTGAGGATATTTTTTGCTTGTTGTCTATTTCGATATTTTCATGAGGTTTTGTTGATTTTTTACTTGTATTTATTTATTTATTCTTGTGTTTTTTGGGATACATACCAAATCGCAAAAGAAATATTTGTGTGGCTATTTTGATTTCAACTTTTTCTTGTGATGTTTGTGGAAATTATTATTTGAAAGAAAGTTATTGAAGAAGGGGCGCTGCAAAGTGAAGTCTTAATCAAAAAAAATACAATTTATTTTAATGTATCCACATGGATGCCTTGTGAATTTTAATGGATATCTATACAATTTCAAAACCTTATTTAATTTGCCAAGAAAATCCACGATTACGGATGGAAGTAAAAGTTATGGTAGTACAAAGTTTTATTGGTCTGCAAAGGCTGTGAAGAAATGTAGAGCTCTGTAACAGGTAGCTGGATGATTGCTTACATGTTAGTGGGGGAAAGAGCGAAGTGGCTTAGCCATATGCAGGAACAGTGGGTTTGAGACTAGAGGAATGGGAGAAGAGACAGGAGTAGTGGACTATAGCAACGGTTCTCAGCGTGTGGGTCACGACCACCTCGGGATCGCATGACATTTCTCCAGGGTCATGTTGAAAAACGGCTTTGTTGTCAAATGATTATGCTTTAAATATGCAAATAATATGCATATAAAAGATAATTATTTTTTTAAAAAAAACATTATCAAACTTCCTTCCAGACATAAATACAGTCAACATCACCGGTGCCACCACCACCCACCCCCCAACCCTTTAAAAAACAACAACTTGTCAACACATTTGTTCAAGTCTAGTCATAATCCTGGTTGTGGATCGCCGATTTTTTGGGGGTAATTTTACCAAGGGTTTACGGTACTCATGATTATTATGATATGATGCTCTAAGGTTCGATTTCATCAAAATGAAGAGAGAGGTGGTTGTGTTTAAAGCTGATTGATGTTTCCCACTGGTGGTCGCCATGTCTGGGTTTGACATCAATTCATTTTGAAGAGGTCATCAGACAAGATTTTTTGGGTCTTAGTCTATGGGGGGGGGGGGGGCAGGGCGGTAGGCAGGGTGTGTGGTGGGGGGGGGCCGTCCGCCCCCCCCCCCCCTCGCACTTTTTATTTTAATGGAGGGGTAGCATTTTTTTTTCCGAGGAAGTCGCACTAAGCACTTGGTGGGTCAGGCCTCTGGTGAATGAATGGGTGTGTAGGTGGGGCATAGGGTGGGCGGGTGGTGGGGCCTGTGGGTGGTGAATGAATGGGTGTGTAGGTCAGACTTTGGGTGGTGGGGCAATTGATTGGTGGGTGGGTGGTGGGGCAAATGATTGGTGGGTGGGTGGTGGGACAAATGATTGGTGGGTGGGTGGTGGGGCAAAAGATTGGTGGGTGGGTGGTGGGACAAATGATTGGTGGGTGGGTGGTGGGGCAAATGATTGGTGGGTGTGTGGTGGGGCAAATGAATGGTGGGTTGGTGGCGGAGCAAACTCCTGTGTGAAAGAAAGAGCATATAAAGCATTTGTCCGTCCGGTTTTAGATTATGCATCTTCAGTCTGGGTCCCATTTACACAGAAGAGCATTGACAGGTTGGAGGCGGTCCAGCGACGAGCACCACGCTTTGTCCTAAANTGGTCACCATTGGAGAAACGACGATGACAATCCAGGCTCTCCATGATGTACAAGATAAATAATGGGCTGGTCCACTGTTCCAGTATTAAACAGAAACTCGTCCCTCTCCCCCATAGACAGCGACGAGGCCATGACAGGCAATTCAGGCTCATACCAGCAAGAAGCCAGTATAGGAGCTGCTCATTCCTGTTCTCTCATATACTATATTTGCTACAGTTTAAGTTCTCTCATGGACTATTTTTGCTATAGTTAAGGTTCTCTCATAGACCATATTTGATATAGTTTAGGTTATCTCATAGACTATATTTGCTATAGTTAAGGTTCTCTCATAGACCATATTTGCTATAGTTTAGGTTATGTCATAGACCATATTTGCTATAGTTTATGTTCTCTCATAGACTATATTTGCTAAAGTTAATGTTCTCTCATAGACATATGTGCTATAGTTTAGGTTCTCTCATAGACTATATTTGCTATAGTTTAGGTTCTCTCATAGACTATTTTTGCTATAGTTTAGGTTCTCTCATAGACCATATTTGCTATAGTTTAGGTTCTCTCATAGACCATATTTGCTATAGTTTAGGTTCTCTCATAGACCATATTTGCTATAGTTAAGGTTCTCTCATGGACCATAATTCTAACTTGTGACTTTATTCTTGGTATCTCCCTCTCACCTCCCCTCCCACTTGAGGCACTGGCTTTTCATTTTATTTATAAAACTAATTATCTTGAAACAATTGTTTACATTTGGCCTCTCCTATAATAGCATAATATGTCTGGAAACAAAATGCCGGACAGGTGGCTTAGTTCCCGGTGGTGTAGTTCCCTGTGCTGTAGTTCCCTGTAGGGTAGTTTTCTGCTCCCTGTGGTAAGTAGAACGGTTCCAAGTGAGAATTTAGCTTGAGATTTAATTTTACGTTGAGAATTCGAACCCTGATATTAGCGTTGGATTCCACTGGCCCAGGTTCTTAATACCATCGCTGAGTAAGTAGCCCTTGTAACCGTGCACAGTTGCATCGCGAGCCCCTCTGAAACATAGGAGCCAGAATGATCAATACATTGATCGTGGCCCTCAAAATATAGAAGAAGACGAAGAAGAAGAAAACCCGTGCTTACATTTTATAACTTTTGAAATATTTATCATTGTCATGCGTACTTTTATTATTACTGTTATTATCACCATCATCATTATTATTATATTTTTGTTATTTTCTAGAAGAAGAGGTCTACGCTAACAATAAATACTCGTTTAGTGTATTTTATAAAGTTTAAAAATTTGATATTTTAATCATTATTATGTTATGTATTTATTTATTAATATAGTTTAAAAATAGTTTTTAAAAAAAAATACTTTGCTGTTTTTGCAAACAGGTTAAATATTCCTTACATGTTTGGCAAGGATTTTAGTTAACTTAAGGCATTTTTTAAGTTTTTTTTAAAGGATATTTTCGTGCATTTATGAAATTGTTAAAGTCATGGACACGTGTTCATACATAAGTCATTTAGCTTTAAGCGATAAGTTATAGTGTCATTGTTGTTAAAATTTCCAGGGCCTCATCTCGGCAAAGATCAGCTTCGCCCTCGACGTATCCACGGCTTATCTTTAGTGTATCCACGGCGTATATCGACGGCGTTTCCACGGCGTATATCCACGGCGTATATCCACTGCGTATATCCACGGATTATCTGTGGTGTATCCACGGCGTATATCCACGGCTTATCCACGGCGTATCCTGGCTTTAAATGAAGTCGTTACCGCGCGGCTACAGCACATGGCCCCACGTGACGTCTGACTAATGACTCGAGCACTTTTGAAGAGTCAGATGATTAGACCCAGGTGTGGCCACGGCTGTTAGCAGACTGTAGTCTTGTGGTTAAAACGTACTGCCAGAACCCCAAGACTATGAGACCCAACACTATCAGACCCCAATACTATCAATCAAACACTAACAGACCCCCAACACTATCAGACCCCAAGACTATCAGACCCCAACGTTATCAGGCCCCAACACTATCAGACCCCAACATTATCAGACCCCAACATTATCAGACCACAACACTGTCAGACCCCAACACTATCAGACCCCAACACTATCAGACCCCAAAACTATCAGACTCTAACACTATCAGACCCAACACTAACAGACCACAACACTATCAGACCCCAAAACTATCAGATCCCAACACTATAGGACTCCAACACTATCAGACCCCTACACTATCAGACCCCAACACTATCAGACCACACACTATCAGATGCTAACACTATCAGACCCCAAAACTATCAGGCCCTAAAACCACAAGAACCCAACACTATCAGACCCTAAGACTATCAGACCCCAAGACTATCAGACCCCAAGACTATCAGACCCCAACATTATCAGACCCCAACACTATCAGACCCCAAGCCTATCAGACCCCAACACTATCAGACCCCAAGACTCTGTTTTGTTGCCAGTTTAAACAAAGAAATCCGTTTCTCTGCTGAAGTAGCGAACACAATAATTCGCCCATCCTTATCCTCGTTACGTTCATTGGGTGCATGGTGAAAGAGATTCGATTACGAAAGTTCAAGATAAAAGTCGGAAGTTTTTTCGGGGGCCGACCATGAGGTGCGTCACGTGCAGAGGCGTAGCGAGAGGGGGGCAGGTGGGGACAGATGTTCCCGGGCGCAAGCTAGTTAGGGGCGCCAAAATGTGCTTTGATATTATATTATTGGTCAAAATAATGGGTTTGAGAGTTGAAAAAAAGAAAAGAAGGCGCTTTAAAATGAATCTTGTCCCCGGGCGCGAATCTTGTCCCCGGGCGCCAACCACCCTCGCTTCGCCACTGGCCACGTGTCAGAAACATAAAGTTTAGGGGGTGTCTAAGAAAGTGTGGCACCTTGTGACACGGATATAAAGGAGGTGTAAAGATCGTGTGTGATGTCATACATTTCATTTTTCTTTTTTTACGTATACAAATAATACCTGAAATTGTAAGGGATGTGAAACCATCTGCTGTGACTGATGGAGTCTGACAGAAGATGTCAATTTTAGATTAAATATGTCACAGTAAGTGTGTGTTTTAATCTATATTTTAATTTAGATTTAATTTTTACCATTTTTGTTTTTAGTTCGAAAGTGTTACTTACTTAGGCGGGATGGGGGGGGGGAGGAGGGGGGAGGGGGTTAAAAAATGTCCAAGAACAGCGTGACGTACCTTATGTATGTCGTACCCCCCCCCCCTTTTTTTCAATGATCATTTGCTACTTCGTTGTATCTAGAAAAAGGGGTGGGGGGTAGAGTGGAATACAAGATGAATATTTGATGGCAGCAAGCGGTGTTGAAGAAAGTCAATATCCGACTGGATTATGAATGTTAACCAATTGTTTACCGGTAACTTATTTTTACTTTTATAGGTCTTATAGAGCGCGCTCCCCCAGCCTACGGCTAGGCTCACCGCGTTTCACATACACATATTAGCGCTAATAAACAGGACATTAAAACTGATACATACCTTTATTTATTTATTTTTTAAGAGCTTATAAAAAAATATGTTCACTCCGTGCCCCCCCCCCCTACCCGAAATAAACAAATTATTTACATGTCAAGCCATAGACGGCACCCAGCAGCTTCGTTTATCGTTCACAGAGGTGTGGGAATCAGTCGGGATAGTATAATTTAAATAAATGTGTCTTGAGTGCAGTTTTGAACACTTGGATGGTCGGTATACAGCGGATGTGTTGTGGGAGAGAATACCATTTTTTTTTTTTTCGCAGTAAGAGAAAAATCGTTCACCGTATGTTTTAGTGTCTGTTTGGGAACAGAAAGAATATTCGTTTCTGCGGAGGAACGAAGCTGTCGAAGGTGTGAATAGAAAGAAAGAAGTTCAGTACGATAGGAAGGGCAGGAACCTGAGCAAAAGTTGTGTCGTAGAAATTGCTCGGCGAAGCATTCTTCATAATATGGGAAAAGTCGTAACTTTATTTGAATCAGGATCATTAAAAAAATAATAATAATAATTTTGCACAATGCATTCCGTTGGTCAATTGTTTCTAAATAAAATGTTTAATACACATGTTCGCGCCGTTTATTTCATTCTTGGTAGATCCGATGTAAGAGCAAGGGTCTTTTTTATAAATTATATTTTAAATGATGTTGACATTCTGTAATCTTCTCAGTTGTCTCATCATGTTTTATTTTATTTTATTTGGACAAAATATCTATAATTTCATGATGTTTTAAAACGTTTATTGCAGAAGATGTTCTTATGTCTGATCTCATTCGTCGCTGTCCTAGCGCCATCATTGCACGGGGCTTACATCGGGGAAGGCTGTGAGTATGATGGACGACTTTACATGTCCGGGACGAAGTTCAAGGCTAAGGCATGCACCTCGTGCCACTGTCCACGGGGTGGCGGCATGCCGAACTGCGTCATAGAGGAGTGCGCCCCAGATCCTCACTGCATCAAGTTCGACAACCAAAGTGGAGAGTGCTGTCCCGTTTGCCAGGAACGTGGCTGTCGTCATTCGGGTAGATAACATGTCATGTCATCAGTGGGCTACCAGAGTTCTGGCCCTTGTTCAATCTTTGTGGCATACGCATAATCATTTAATATGGATATTTAGAAGGTCTATTCAGTTGAAGTGTTATAATAGTTATTTTTTCATTAATTGCTGAAATTTCCTCTGACTATGATATGACTACTTTGAGTATGAGTACTATGACTATTTACTATATAGGCAAAGCCTTAAATTTAATATAATATATCAATATATAGGTTGCGCCCATGACTATGATTAAACTTACCATTCATTTAAATTCTCAGGGCAGTCAGGGGCCGTCTTCTAAGTAATCCTAAGCAGCCAGGCTTCTGCTAGTGACATTTAAATTATGTCAAGTTTTTGAGTATCAGAAATGGCATTTATCGTTTGAAAGTGTGAAACACTTGACCAGGGCGTGTTGTCAAATATTTTAATCCTAGCGCAATTTACTTGATTGTCTGCACTTTTAATAAATCAGCTGTAATTTCACTTGGAAAAAAAAAGTAATGTTGTGATTGGTTATCGCATCAAACAAATTAGAATTTGATCAAATTTTGAAAAAAATATCCACAAAAAGGAAACGGCCAACAAAATAATGCTTTCATACAAAAATTTGACGCAAATTTGAAGCATATTTGACAAGAATTTGATGGTGTGAACTGAGCATTAACCCTCAGTTAAGCGGTTATGTTGCGTGGGTCTCAGATATTTACGTGTCCTTTAGTTGTGATGTCGAAAGAAAATTAAACGATCAACTTCGAATGCAAAGAAAGACAAGCGAAAAGTGGCATGTGGGCCTCCAAACGTCACGTGACCGCTCTGCTCTTAAAGATAGGCTGAGGCCTTAACTTTCATAACATAGCTATTTATTTATTTTTAAAAAATAATGTTTGACTATTTATCTGGGTTTTTTTTTTTCAAATCCTGCATCTCGATTTCGAACCGATTTCTGATGTCCAGTGGAGTTTAAAATAGTTTATACTTACCCATCCCGGATTACAATAGAACTCTTCATGATCAGTAGGTCACCAGTGCACTCTACTAGCCCCTGAGTGACCTCTGTGTTTCAAAATCATGCACCTCGACTCATTCCCTTATCTACAAATGAGATGACACTTTGCACTTTTACACTTGGACGAAAAAGTATAAAATAAAAATTATAGAAAATACTTGTTTTGAACACGCTTTTTCCCCAAATGTAATAACTTTTTAGTTATATGACTGCAACAACTCTTAAATTCTTAGCGGCTTTTTTTTTTTTTTTTTACTCTCTAGTAGGCCTACATATTTTGGAAACAGTTATTTTAATTTAAATTTTTTATTTCCAAAGATGGCAAGTTATTTATACTTGTTTTGAACACGCTTTTTCCCCAAATGTAATAACTTTTTAGTTATATGACTGCAACAACTCTTAAATTCTTAGCGGCTTTTTTTTTTTTTTACTCTCTAGTAGGCCTACATATTTTGGAAACAGTTATTTTAATTTAAATTTTGTATTTCCAAAGATGGCCAGTTATTTCAGCAAGGGGAAGTCATTCGCAACGAGGCATGCGTGAGGTGTTACTGCCCCTTAGGAGGAGGAGATCCAATCTGTGATGTGACGTCATGTCCATTGTCTCAGTGCGTGGATCCTGTCAAGGTTCCTGGGGTCTGTTGCCCCATATGCCCAAAAGGTACAGATTTTTTTTTATTATTTTCTTTCATGCAGGCATGTCCATGTTATCCAGTAAATATCTTCATCGCTCATGATATTGTTATATCCATCCCAGTTCTATAAATATATCAAATCTAAGCATTTCTGTAGCTAATGAGCCTAATATAGAAACTTTATTGCAATTATAAATAACATGTTAAAAATGTGTTCTTCTCTGTAGGTCCCAACTGTCAGATCGGCCTTCTAACTCTCCCGATTGGTCAGAGCGTCATGATAGAGGGCGCCACGTGCACGTGTGAAAGTTTTCTGGATGTTGACGGCATCAAGCGAACACTGGCCCGATGCAACAAAAACTGAGCTCCCTTGAACAAGATATTTTTTTTTAAAGACATCGTGAAGTAAAAATAACAAAGTGTAGGGTCAAAGGTCATCGTTCAGTTTTTCTCTCTCATGTTATTGTTTGACCTAGGAATAGCCTCCACCCCAAAATTGATATTATAATCCTGATATAACATTTGGGCTCATCTAAAGTGTGTAAGAAATGTATATTTGTCATGAGCTCAGAATGGAAAATTGTTATCATTATTATTTTATTACTTGACTTGGCTAGAATAGATGTATTTCTTATTTCCCTCCACTTCTAAAGTCCACTACCCTCACCCGGGGAGGGGGGGGGGGCAGGATATTCACTGAGTTATGGTGATTAACAACCACTTCTACCTCTAGGGCCAAACCGGCATAACTATTTTTAACTCAAAAAGCTTTCAAAAATAAAACAGTTCTTGAATGTAAGCTTAGAAAGTTTGCCCAACAGAGTGGGGTCGTTAACTTGCGTTAAAGTAATCAAAATATCAAGTGAATAAAATTTAAAAGAAATTTTTTTCTGACCTGTTTCTAGAAACTTCTTGATATGATTTGTACAACTCCATGATTTTTTGATTTTTTTGGCTGACAGATAAACCCTTTTTTTATATCACTCCAAATAACATCATTATGAAGGATAGCGTGACTGCATTAAACCTTACACAAGTTGCCGGATTTAAAACTTTATTGTGAACATAATGAGCTTGTCATTGCTAATCCCACTATCAAAAGTATTCAAATCAGAACATATTACGAAAGCATAGAAGTAATTTAGATTTTGACATTAATACATTTGACTCTGAGTCTTGTTATGAAAAAGAAATCCTCAATCAAAACAGCCATTTTTAAAAATTAGTTCTTGACTCATGCAGCTTGGCTGTGGGGATACCAAGCAGCTGGTTGCTATAGCAACCCATCATTTCTCGCATAATCTCTAAATTCATTGTTAAATGTACGTTGTGATGCGATGAAAGAATTAAAAGGTTATTTCACACCATAGTGAATATTCCCAGACTAATTAATTTTGTCGATAACATTCCCATATCAATTTTGTATATAAAGTGCCCATATTCTATAACATTCCTATATCACTTTTGTTTATATGGTACTATAAAACTCCCATATAACTTGTGTCCATAACTTTCTCCTATAACTATCCTCTTCTGGGTAGAAGAAGAGAGTTAGCAACAGCTCATAGTGAAGTCAAATCTGTAGTTAAATTTCAATAAAAATGACAGAAAAAGCAACAGGCCTAAGTCGAGTTAAGTCTGCAGTTAGTCGAGTTAAGTCTGCAGTTAGTGGAGTAAAGTCTGCAGTTAGTGGAGTTAAGTCTGCAGTTAGTGGAGTAAAGTCTGCAGTTAAATTACAATTAAAATGACAGAAAAGAGTTGTATAAATAATGTTCAAATTTATTTATCATACCAACAATTATTACATTGCATTGTTTATGTCTTCAAAGAAAACATAGAATTTAAAAAAACATAATATTTTATTTTATATAGTTTTCTGACAGTTACCACCAATGGAAATGGATGAAAGTACCAGTGTACGTCACAAATAGAAGAAAATACAGACATTAGTCACAAATAGATTAAAGTGTATGTCCCAACTTTGAACAATTTGTTAATGAGTTTACCACAGAATTGGCATCCTTACCTGATCCAAATTTGTCATCCCTTTAAAAGAATATAAATTAATGTCAGCACTTGGGGTACTCAACATTACGTGATGACAATGAAATAATGTCATGAGAAATATTCTCCTTCCCTTTATCACAGTAAAATACAATGTCAGCTTTAGTTAACATTTCAGCTGAGAGATTCATATCATGACTTTAATGAAATAACATTTGAGATTTTAAATATCTTGACAAAGAGATGAACAGAACAATTATGATTTAGTTAAAAAAAATTTAAAAATTTCCCCTTAGACTACTTTTTGATTTAAATGGATATTGAAAAGACAAACTTTAAATGCCTCTTTTTTTTTCCTTCAAAATTTCTTTGAAATATCTTGATTGACAAAGATCTTGACTGACAAAGATCTTGATTGACAATACATCAGTATGTTACAAGGCAATCTATCATCTTTCAAAAATTGATAAAATCCCTACACAATGGCATGACACAGGGGACAAGACTTCCGTTGTGTGATCTCAGACTGAAGAGCTCTGTGTTTACAGTTGCTGCACATCCAGAACTGGTACTCGAGGATTGGTCGGCCCGTCACGATGCAGGTGGGGTATTTGGTATCACAACTTGGACACACTGTCGTCCTGACCAAACAAGCAAGAGAAATAGTCAAGGTTTTTTGTTTTGTTTTTTTTTTACTTATTTTAAAAAACCATCCAAGCAAATCTAAAATTTAATGTTACATATCACGGATACGTTTATTTTAACCAAGAATGCAAATATAAATTAAGTATGACACTTGTCAGTAGGAAAAAATATTTACCAATCTGGCATTTGTGAGCCACAGTTTGGACAGTCCACTTTGTTGGCTCTCAGATCTTTAGGGCTGTGCCTGGGAAAATAATATCACAAACTTAAGAGTGAACAATTGAACCATATTCATACAAAATTAGCCTCAAGGCAAACATGAAAATAATGAAGCAAAACAGGCAAAATTAGCAGTATCAAAGCAGAGGTTACAAACAGGAAAAGTTTAGCAGTATCAACGCAGAGGTTACAAACAGGAAAAGTTTATCAGTATCAAAGCAGAGGTTACCAAGCTGAGTTTTTAAAAGCTCACTCAATCAATATTGTACACTTCTCATTAAAGCCAGAAGTGGAGAAGAAAAAAAAATTAATAACATACTTGGTAAATATTTCCATAGCCAGCTCCTCGTAGTGCTGTCTCTGCTCAATTGGCAGTGATTCCAGAGACTCAAGTTTGATGAAGGCTTTAGAGCAAACATTGAACGCTCGGTTGGCACAGGAAGCTAAAGCTGGAGAAGTACATTTTAAAATGTTACTGTTATTTCATTCAGTGTGTTTTTGGGGGATTTTTTAGCGCGTTGGATTATAGAGGCAAGGTGGGAAACTAATGGGATGGTGATGAGCATATTTGGAAACAGAAATAAAAAGAACTGGAGGTGATGTTAGATGAACTGGAGGTGATGTTAGATGAACTGGAGGTGATGTTAGATGAACTGGAGGCGATGTTAGATGAACTGGAGGCAATGTTAGATGAACTGGAGGCGATGTTAGATGAACTGAAGGTGATGTTAGATGAACTGAAGGAGGGTTTGAGGAACTGTAATAGGGTGAACAGAACTGAAATGGAAGAATTAAACTTGATAAAGATGTAATGTAACGGTTAAAATAAATGGAAATCAACTGTGGATGGCCTGTATGCTACACAGGCAAAAGGGCTGAGAATAACAAATAACCTATCTTGACTAATTAAATTACCTTACAGAAATGCATGTACCTAACAGAGAACAGGTTTTTTTTGGGTCAATAGAAAGTCTCATAACTATAAGAGAATAGGTGTTTGCTGGGTCAATAGAAAGTCTCATAACTATAAGAGAATAGGTGTTTACTGAGTCAATAGAAAGTCTCATAACTATAAGAGAATAGGTGTTTGCTGAGTCAATAGAAAGTCTCATAACTATAAGAGAATAGGTGTTTGCTGAGTCAATAGAAAGTCTCATAACTATAAGAGAATAGGTGTTTGCTGAGTCAATAGAAAGTCTCATAACTATAAGAGAATAGGTGTTTGCTGAGTCAATAGAAAGTCTCATACCTAACAGAGATTAGGTGTTTACTGGGTCAATAGAAAGTCTCATAACTATAAGAGAATAGGTGTTTGCTGAGTCAATAGAAAGTCTCATAACTATAAGAGAATAGGTGTTTGCTGAGTCAATAGAAAGTCTTATAACTATAAGAGAATAGGTGTTTGCTGAGTCAATAGAAAGTCTCATAACTATAAGAGAATAGGTGTTTACTGAGTCAATAGAAAGTCTCATAACTATAAGAGAATAGGTGTTTGCTGAGTCAATAGAAAGTCTCATAACTATAAGAGAATAGGTGTTTGCTGAGTCAATAGAAAGTCTCATAACTATAAGAGCATAGGTGTTTGCTGAGTCAATAGAAAGTCTTATAACTATAAGAGAATAGGTGTTTGCTGCGTCAATAGAAAGTCTCATAACTATAAGAGAATAGGTGTTTGCTGAGTCAATAGAAAGTCTCATAACTATAAGAGAATAGGTGTTTACTGAGTCAATAGAAAGTCTCATAACTATAAGAGAATAGGTGTTTGCTGAGTCAATAGAAAGTCTCATAACTATAAGAGAATAGGTGTTTGCTGAGTCAATAGAAAGTCTCATAACTATAAGAGAATAGGTGTTTGCTGAGTCAATAGAAAGTCTCATAACTATAAGAGAATAGGTGTTTGCTGAGTCAATAGAAAGTCTCATACCTAACAGAGATTAGGTGTTTACTGGGTCAATAGAAAGTCTCATAACTATAAGAGAATAGGTGTTTGCTGAGTCAATAGAAAGTCTCATAACTATAAGAGCATAGGTGTTTGCTGAGTCAATAGAAAGTCTCATAACTATAAGAGAATAGGTGTTTGCTGAGTCAATAGAAAGTCTCATAACTATAAGAGAATAGGTGTTTGCTGAGTCAATAGAAAGTCTCATACCTAACAGAGATTAGGTGTTTACTGGGTCAATAGAAAGTCTCATAACTATAAGAGAATAGGTGTTTGCTGAGTCAATAGAAAGTCTCATACCTAACAGAGATTAGGTGTTAACTGGGTCAATAGAAAGTCTCATAACTATAAGAGAATAGGTGTTTGCTGAGTCAATAGAAAGTCTCATACCTAACAGAGATTAGGTGTTTACTGGGTCAATAGAAAGTCTCATACCTAACAGAGATTAGGTTTTACTGGGTCAATAGAAAGTCTCATACCTAACAGAGATTAGGTGTTTACTGGGTCAATAGAAAGTCTCATACCTAACAGAGATTAGGTGTTTACTGGGTCAATAGAAAGTCTCATAACTATAAGAGAATAGGTGTTTACTGGGTCAATAGAAAGTCTCATAACTATAAGAGAATAGGTGTTTGCTGAGTCAATAGAAAGTCTCATAACTATAAGAGAATAGGTGTTTACTGGGTCAATAGAAAGTCTCATAACTATAAGAGAATAGGTGTTTGCTGAGTCAATAGAAAGTCTCATACCTAACAGAGATGAGGTGTTTACTGGGTCAATAGAAAGTCTCATAACTATAAGAGAATAGGTGTTTGCTGAGTCAATAGAAAGTCTCATACCTAACAGAGATTAGGTGTTTACTGGGTCAATAGAAAGTCTCATAACTATAAGAGAATAGGTGTTTGCTGAGTCAATAGAAAGTCTCATACCTAACAGAGATTAGGTGTTTACTGGGTCAATAGAAAGTCTCATAACTATAAGAGAATAGGTGTTTGCTGAGTCAATAGAAAGTCTCATACCTAACAGAGATTAGGTGTTTACTGGGTCAATAGAAAGTCTCATACCTAACAGAGATTAGGTTTTACTGGGTCAATAGAAAGTCTCATACCTAACAGAGATTAGGTGTTTACTGGGTCAATAGAAAGTCTCATACCTAACAGAGATTAGGTGTTTACTGGGTCAATAGAAAGTCTCATACCTAACAGGGAATAGGTTTTTACTGGGTCAATGACATCTTCAAAGTCCCTGAGATGGAGTGTGGTCCTCATAGCAGCATCAACATAGCCTGTCGACAATAACCAAAATATCAGCTGTTAGAGATCAAATAAATAAACTGCAAAAATAACATGTTTTTTCATGCACTTCAAAAAGATTATAAAAATGCAAAATGATTTGCCAACAATGACCAAAAGGAAGTTCAAAAGATCACTTTGATTATAAGCCGTTGGATATAAACTACTGTACTAAATTCTGTGGTTACATTGCCAGTCTGTTGCTGAAAATCCAATTTTTCATTTTTTTTTTAAAGGTTTTTGTGGTCATTTTAATTTCTTAAAATAGTTTGACATAAGAAAAGATCTAAGAGACTGACCATCATGAAGTTGTCTTTGGGCCAGAATGTAGAAGTGATATGCCTCAGCTCCCCGCCAGGCGTTGTCTATGATTTTAGTATCAGACATGGCTGACACGTCCTCCTCTAGAAATCCTGCCAGAGCTGATGCTGCCTGGAGACACACAACCAAATGAACAATGAATAGAAAATGGGTGTCAAATGTGGGCATTCATGAATTTCTTCAAAATAAATGTTCAATTCAAAAATCTGTTGAACATTTTTAAAGCTTGACTAAAATGACTAAAATGACTAAAAATCCTTCTAGAATTGTTCAAACCCCATGAATCTACTTCTGTCTGTCTCCTTAGCAATCTCCCTGGATATCTATCAGAATGTCGCCTTAGCAATCTCCCTGGATATCTACCAGAATGTCTCCTTAGCAATCTCCCACTATTTTCTTTGACATCTATCAGTCTGGCACATTAGCAATCTGCCACTAATCACACTAGATATCTAACAGCCTGTCTCCTTAGCAATCTCTCTCAATACATCCCTAGATATCTACTACTGTCTATACTATTCATCTGGCCTTAAAAGTTGTAAGGACAAATTATTTCAGTTCTTCGTTGCTATTTCAGTGAGACAGACTGGTTAGACTATTTACAGCACCGCAGGAGAGACTTGTGTCCTACCGCACCGCATGAGAGACTTGCGCCCCGATCGGCTGACATTTTTTGTTCATCTTCCCTAAAATGTTCATCTATTTGTTAGACAGGTAACTGAGTACTCACGGTTCATCTATTTGTTAGACAGGTAACTGAGTACTCACGGTTCATCTATTTGCTAGACAGGTAACTGAGTACTCACGGTTCATCTATTTGTTAGACAGGTAACTGAGTACTCACGGTTCATCTATTTGTTAGACAGGTAACTGAGTACTCACGGTTCATCTATTTGTTAGACAGGTAACTGAGTACTCACGGTTCATCTATTTGTTAGATAGGTAACTGAGTACGCATGGTTCAACTATTTGTTAGACAGGTAACTGAGTACTCACGGTTCATCTATTTGTTAGACAGGTAACTGAGTACTCACGGTTCATCTATTTGGAGAACCACTGATCTACAGTGATTCTCTTAGAAACCATTCAACTGTATCAAATGAGCTGACCTGTTTATTTTTGCCTTTAGCTCTAGAGGTCAGCTTCATGGCTTCATGGTACTGCTCCACAAGCAGACCGCCAAGGACATACATCTTTTTTACAATGAGTGGATTTTTGTGGCTCTTCATTTGCTCATCTGCAATCTGGAAATAACATTGGAAACTAGAACAAAAATACAACTTGCCTTTTAAATGAATTAAAATGATGCTGATTATTTGTATACCGGTATATGTATATATGTATATATCTACTGCATATATCTATATATATATATCCCCTGCATTGCAGAGTAGTGAAATAAAAGAGAAACAATGGTGATCAGATATATCAATTATGTAGCCTCAACCGGGTTAGTTTTAAAATCTAACATGACAAAGTCATAACATTAGATGTTTGCCCGACTAGTGTAAATAATGGAAGAAGGTACTTAAAATCGGAGTCACTTCCCTTTATAAGGGTATTAAGGTTAAATATGAAGTCACGCGGCCGAGAGTTAATGAGGTAATAGGCAAAATATCTAATAAATGACCTTGAACATTAATTTAGCAGCATCCATGAAATGTCCAGCTTTTCGATATAGTGAAATCGCATCCAGGACTTTCTTCTTTTCCAGCAGGTGTTGGGCATACTTTGCCAGCAGCATGTCGATCTCTCGTACATTGTGCGTCTTTGCAAGCTCAATGGCTGTGTTCCACTGATTCAGGTGCACACAACAGTCGATGGCCGCCTTGATCCGGTTACACTGTAAAAGTTTATACAGAACTGGATGATGTGCATATTTGAAAGTTACATTTGTAAAATTATAATTACATTTTATAATTATTTTCAATTTAAATACTGATAAGATTATCTTATTGTTTTCTTTCAAATATTCATGAAAATATAATTTCCAGTTAAATTTATAAAAAATGATTTTTTTTTAAATGTAGCTTCTTAAACTATGAAGCTCAATTTCAATTTTTTCACATTCAAGCCATAATTTACACATTTTTGTGCCACACTTGTTACTATTTTTGTCCAGCATTTAAATGAGGTGAGTCTATGAGTAAATAAGATAATTTATCCCCCATAAAGCTGTAGGCCAACATTCCTACCTTTGTGAAGGATTCAACAGCCTGATCTGACATACCAACACTGGAAAACATGGCCGCTATTTCCTTTGGAATCAAAAAAAATAATAATTATTATTTTATTTGAGAAAAGAAATTTCAGATTTAAATTCTCATGTTAATGAAATGTTTCAGCCAAGTTAGTTTTTTTTAGATGTCTTACATAGATTTAACCAAACAGTAGAATGCATTGCAAAACATTAGAATCGTCTTTCACTTTCACTACTTAAAAATTATTTTTTTGGATAAAATTAACACATAAAAATAAATAATAAAAATATATTTTATTATAAATGAACACTGTATTTTTTTACCATACAAAATTTTTATGTGAGCAATTCCAAGTTGTCACTTTATTGCCAAGTTGTCACCTTGGTGATTTGTTGGCACTTTATTGGCAAGTTGTCACTTTATTGTCAAGTTGTCACCTTATTGTTTTGTTGGCACTTTATTGCCAAGTTGTTGCTTTATTGCCAAGTTGTCACTTTATTGCCAAGTTGTCACTTTATTGCCAAGTTGTCACCTTATTTTTGGGGGCACTTTATTGCCAAGTTGTCACTTTATTGCCAAGTTGTCACTTTATTGCCAAGTTGTCACCTTATTTTTTGGGCACTTTATTTCCAAGTTGTCACTTTATTGCCAAGTTGTCACTTTATTGCCAAGTTGTCACTTTATTGCCAAGTTGTCACTTTATTGCCAAGTTGTCACTTTATTGCCAAGTTGTCACTTTATTGCCAAGTTGTCACTTTATTGCCAAGTTGTCACTTTAAGAAACAAGATAAATAAAAAGCTGCTGAACTTACAGGCAACAGTTTGTGATTCTCTGGCAAAGAGTTGACCATGTTATGGAGGCCATTGTAGTCCTCAAGCATGTAGTAACATTCTGCCAGACGCTCTTGGTTTCGGCCTTGTACATAGTAGGTCACAGCCTGTTTACAACAATAACATGGGTATGTAGGTCATGGTATGTACACAAAAACATGGATAAGTAGGTCACATCATTTACCCAACAATAACATGGATGAGTAGGTCATGTGATATAGACAGAAATGAAATGGATAACTAGGTCATATCATTGTCATTGTAGTGTGCATGTTTTGTGTTACTTTGTTTCACAACTTTTTATAGGTTGCTGTTGCAACTTTTTATAGGTTGCTGTTGCTTGGGTCAGCCCAGGGGTGGGGGGGGGGGGGGGCATTTATACACCATCGGAGCTTCCCTATTGACATTTTTATTATAAGTCTGTAATTGATCAAGAACATGAAGGAAACCTGATTCCATTTTTGTCTGTCTGCGTAGTAGTCCCCCAGGGCATTCCAGGCTTCCTCAAGCTGGACATCATCGCCGCCACCACCATTTTTTAGTAGGTGTATGACCTTGAACCAGTCGCCTAGTTTCTTCCGCAGGCTGACTGCAAGATCCCTGTTGTCAGGGAAATAAACCAAGATGAACATTTCACCATCTGAATATGAGTCATGCACTCATGTCTTTATCAGTCATGCACTCATGGCACCATCTCAACATCAGTCATGCACTCATGCCTTCATCTGATATTCTGTCATTCACTCATGCCTCTGTCTGAACATGATTCATGCACTCATGTCTTCATCAGCCGTGAGCTCATGACACTGTCTGAACATCAGTCATGCACTCATGCCTTCATCCATCATGCACTCATGGCACCATCTCAACATCAGTCATGCACTCATGCCTTCATCTGATAATCAGTTATTCACTCATGCCGCCATTTGATAATCAGTCACGCACTCATGGCACCATCTGAACACCAGTCATGTACACATGGCACCATCTGATAATCAGTCATGTACTCATGGCACCATCTGAACACCAGTCATGTACTCATGGCACCATCTGATAATCAGTCATGCACTCAGATAAAGATGATGAAACATTATAAGGCCTAACACATAGACCATAAAAGAGGGGGACACACACCTTCGATCCATCTCCAGGTAAATCTTCTCAGCCTCGTCAAATTGTTGAAAGTAGGAGGCCACTTCTGCTCTCTTGATGTTTTCATTCTGATAGTAAACAAAAAATTGGTCAGCGACTTATCACTTACTTGAGAATAACAGCAAAAGAAATTGTGCATAGCATTCCAACAAGTAGAATAAATCTTATGATTAAATTACAGGTTGATTCTGTTGATAAGATTCATCAATATTTAGTTAACTAAAATAAATACTGTCTAACGACAGGTAGGTCTTCTGTCTAACCACAGGTAGGGCTTTTCAAACTTAAATTAATTCCACATTTGTTTTCCTTATAGAAGATTCATAATTTTTTAATATTTCCTTCAACTGTGATGGAATCAATCATTGTTCATATTTCCCTCACCGGTGATTGAATCAATCATTGTTCATATTTCCCTCACCTGCAGGTTGCCAAGTCGCTTGACAAACTCAATGCCCTGGTAATCTTTACATTTGACAAAAGCCGTTTCTGCTACTTTCAGATTGAGTTGTCCAAGTGCTGACTCAGCCAGGAGTCTCCTGGACAGACAAAGAGACAGAGATTATACATTATAGGTTTAAAGAAAACAATATCACATGGAAGTCTTACAAATCAAATCCATGTCTGAACCTTATCGGACAGAAATTATTTCATTAAAAAATTATTTCATTTACATACTTAATTTATTTAAATATTACAAAGAGAGATTTGTGCGATGAAGCCTGCCAATGACATCTGAAACCAGTAGATGACATCTGACACCAGCCAATGACATTTATAACATCTGACATCAGCCGATTTAGTATCATAATACTGTTAACATTGGCTGGTATTTTAAAAAATGTGTAATTCTTATGTTGAAGTAGTATGTTTTTTTTAAAAACGTCCATTCTGTATCCTACCATAGCCGAGGGTGTGGGTTGTCCTCTATGAATTGTTGAGTTTCATCCAGTCCTACTTTCTCCAGGAGGTCACGGGTGTCTCTCAGAGACTGAAATGTCAGACAGCAAACAAAATAGACCTTCATTAAAACAATTTTAATGCTTTTTAATTTCATTTATTCTTTTTTTAACAATCATTTACCATCTTAACGAGGGGGAAAAATTAACTTAGGACACAGCATGGATTGTTTGACATTTAACATAATATATGAACCAAATTACACCATCAACCAAGAAGTGTCATATTCTGTACCACACCATCCTTCACACTGTCAATAATTATCAAATTACCTTACAGTTCTTGCTGCCCAGTGATAATGTAGACCAGAGGATGAGATTGCTGGTTTTGTAAAGATTATTTCAATAAATTCCATTAACCTTAATTTCCATGTCGATGATGTCATCCTTGGTCGGGTTCTCTGGGTCCTTCATGATCTCATCCAGCAGAACTGACTTGATCTGAAGGTCACTGAACTCACAGATGTAGCCTGAGCTTTGAATGGGTTCCTGGATGACATAAACACAAATATACTGTGATCCGTTTTCAAACACAAATATACTGTGATCCGTTTTTTAAAAAAAAACAGTGGCATTGAAAGGTCAAAAGATGGATTTTGAAATTTTTATGATATCTTTGTTATGTGTCTTTATACTGTGTCAGTAAAAGATCTCATATTTTTGCCTCCCTTCCTATGTATTCGGTGACTAAGTCTATCCCATGTATTCAGTGACTAACTCTATCACATGTGTTCAGTGACTAACTCTATCCCATGTGTTCAGTGACTAACTCTAGCCCATGTATTCAGTGACAAACCCTAACCCATTTATTCAGCAACTAACTCAAACCCATTTATTCAGAGTCCAACACAATCTCATGTATTCAGTGACTAACACTATCCAATGTATTCAGTGACAAACCTCTGGGTCCAGATTCCTGAAGATGTACATTCTTGTCTTCTCCATTACAGCAAAGAGCTCGGGATTGTCCTTAAAGGATAAAAATATTTTACTAGCCTTGCAATATTTGCTTGTCTACTTATATTGTGAGTTACACCATTTTATCACAATAAACTTTGTATTTTCGTCACAGACTACATTTTAAACCAATAAAAATTTCATGAATCTCTCCATGCGATTGCATCAGGGGAAGGATATCTTAGCAGCCACATGACAATCAACCTACCTCTGCCCATTTCATATCCCAGACATCTTTGCGTTCAAATTTGGGTTGTTCCCCAATCACTTCCCGGCCTTCCGAGTCAGTTACTCTTGTGTCGAGGTCAAAAAAGGTCAGAATGCCAGACACATCGATTATTGCAAGACGGCTAGAGTTTTTTAAGTAAAATTTAAAGATAATCACTATTTATAACAGAGTTCAAAAATATTCTTCATCATTTATTATTGTAATATTTGTCATCCGCTCTAGCCAAACCTTTCTAGAACTAGCAATACATTTAGAATCTGATTCACAGTCACCTTCAACCACACGAAACAAACCTTCCTAGAATCAGAAAAAATGTTAGAATCTGATTCATAGTCAACTTCAACCATAAGAACATCAATTACATTTTATGCATTATTGTCCATAGTTAACAGTTCAGTATTATTTATAGTTAAATCTCTAAGCTTGCTTAGAAACTTCTTATGAGTTGATAAATCCTTGAAGAACATTTTATGGTCTTAACTGAATAACTCGGAAAAATAATTAGCTTATTCATAAAGAAGAGCAACAATCAAGTGTATGATAATGCATTGTTAGATGCACCTGGGCAAGCATACTACATAATGTTTCATTATGCAGCAAGTTGGGCAGAAGTGGGTTAATACAAGACTTACTGTGTTATATCTGACATCTAGTTTGTAAAAAATATTCAAACAATATATTTGCCTAATCAGTTTATGCTTTATGGTCAGTTGTAATAGATTTAATCAGAGTACAGGCCCATTACCTAGAGGAACTATTTAGGCTGAGTTGATGTGGCTGGCTGGCCACAGTATACTTGTGGGTCAAGGCCACCATTGGCAGGGAGTAACGTACAAGGACCCCAGATTCTCTAGCCTGGAAATATACAAATATAAGTGTAAATGTTGTATATTATTTTTATTGAATATGTCTAGCTTATGAAATGTAAAGTTATGAAATTCTGGGCCTTTGAAAATACCTGAAAATATAAACATCTTATCATTCACCTTCTATTTCAAATATTTAAAACTCATTTTCCAAAAAATTACACATTTATACTACAACTTTATAAATATAACTGGAACCAAAAAAATTATTTTTATACATTTGCACCCGATATAACTTGCATAAATTTTTTAAAACTTTCTTCACAAATATTTTGATGGGATGATTGTCTGCACGTCATAAAACCATTGAGGGACACAATCCAGTGATAGTTTGTTCTAAAAAAAAATAGGTATAGCTTTAGAATTGATTCATGACACTCACCACAATAAGAGTTTTGTCTGAGGCACAGATGGCACAAATCTGGTCATCTGTTCTCTGGTGAAAAATATTATCACACATTAGTAAAACTACTTATAAAGAAGTGCATCAAATCCCATGGGGGAAATCTTTGTGAACACTAATAAAAAAAATGTTAAAAACATCCAAGACATCAGATTTCTAATTCAACTTGATACAGGTTCATGTTAAGTTTTTATTGTTTTAAATTTTTATTTCAACAGAAAGACAAATGGAAGAACTTACAAATTATTATTTTTTAAAATTTATTTTGTAAATAAAACAAGTCTGTGAAGAGTTTAATATCCATATTATATACCCCAGATAATTGTTTAAACTGTGGCCGTAACACATATACATTTCAGTTTAGCTAGAGAATTTGTGACAATGAATGTATTGAATAATGATGGAGTGGACTGTAACAAAAGATGAGTTACATTGTAAGCTTTGTTGAAGTCTATGTCATCTTGACCTGTTGATGTCCCTGAGGGCAGGTCATCAATATGGAACAATCTGGAAAATGAAAAAAATTAGGTTAAGCAAGCACCATTGCCATCAGGTGTCCTAAACATTTGGTCAAGCACCTGTGAACAAAATAATAATGCAAGCAATGGACTTTAAATATTAGTGATTGAAAATTGTCTTGCAACAATCCATTAAAGCACTTGCAAAACTTGCACACACCTTATAGTATAAAAAAATGGGTAATGACAGCTGCATAAATAAAAAAAATGATGTTTATTTGTAAGGGAATGTGATTAAGTTTTATTTGTAAGGGAATGTGATTAAGGTTTATTTGTAAGGGAATGTGATTAAGGTTTATTTGTAAGGGAATGTGATTAAGGTTTATTTGTAAGGGAATGTGATTAAGGTTTATTAGTAAGGGAATGTGATTAAGGTTTATTTGTAAGTCATAATATGAAGAATGTTTATTTCTTAAATGTAATGTGAAAAGCAGTAAAAAAAATAGAACAAAAAAATAAGATTATTTTAGAATATGAGACAATAAATAAATGGTTAAAATAAGATTACTAATCAAATAAAGGAGGTCAAAAAAATAATAAATAATGTATTATGAAAGCACCTTTCTGAACCAAGTAGGTTAATAGTCAATAAATGATGTATTATCAAAACACCTTTCTGAACCAAGTAGGTCAACAGCTAATAAAGAATGTATTATCAAAACACCTTTCTGAACCAAGTAGGTCAACAGCTAATAAAAAATGTATTATCAAAAACAATTTCTGAACCAAGTAGGTCAACAGCTAATAAAGAATGTATTATCAAAAGACCTTTCTGAACCAAGAAGGTCAACAGCTAATAAAGAATGTATTATCAAAAGACCTTTCTGAACCAAGTAGGTCAACAGCTAATAAAGAATGTATTATCAAAAGACCTTTCTGAACCAGCTTTCCTCTTGGAGGCCATCTCCAAAGTGGCCAGTTTTTTAGGGTTTTTAAACTGCCAGCAGTAGAAAGCTTCCTTTGAGGCGCAGATGATTTGTGTCTTGGTCATGCAGAGGTAGACAGGCTCCAGTCCTATGTATTTAGAGTCTAAGGGTGTCCCAATGGAGTTACAGAGGACAAGCACATACTGGGGAATAATGTAACTGATGATTAACACAAGAAGACAAAAAAATAATGCAACAGAAATATCGTATATTTAGATAAGGATAAATGATAAGCTAACAAGAAAATTCATTTTTATTTTAAATTTAGGAAATAAATACTTTAAATTCTAGGTAAACTGTGTTTGATCAGCACTTATGTAAATTAGATGAGGCACAATTTCATTCAATAATTAGATTTGCTTTAGATTAGAGTAAAAAAAAGTTGCGCATATTTATCTGTTATTTCACTTCCTGAAATAAATTATATTTTAAAATGCACTGAGACTATGGGTATTCACTAGTAATTTCGGCACACCAAATATTGTGTCTTTTATTGAGTGTGGTGTATCTTGCGTCTTGGTTTAATTAATTAATGCTTTTGGGGCCATCATCCTTGTGACATTGTGAAGTGATTTTATTAGAGCTGTGACCTAGTGTCTATAGTCTGTCTTTCATGTACATGCTAATCGTTCAGTGGTTAGAGTCTGAGCATTGAGTGAGATGGTCGCTTGTGTCCATTCAGCAAGTTGTGCTATATATTTGTGTGTTGGAAGTGTTGTACATCCATGTGTTAGAGACGCCTGGGTCAAAGTTCACATTACTCTTGAAATAGGACTCTTGATAATCAGGATATAAACTTGTGAATGAACTTGGCATGTGAAACCAAACATTCCAGGATGCAACATCTTGTGATGTCATTGTGCTGTCACAGTTGCTTCCCTTTAGCATCAATGCGTGAGGCCCGTGTTTCTTGAATTGAGATGTGAGAGGACATCTTGTTTTGCTTGTAACTAGTCATTAAACATCTAGACCTGAAGCTGAACAGAGGTGTTAGTTTTCCTCGTGTTAGACATAGTAGTACTAAATATATACACCAATAGAGAAATATCTAACCTGATTAGAGTTTTCCTCCCCTTTGGTTGCTAAGCAACAGTAATCACCATAAGCAGTTATGGCAGTAAGGTTTTTCACAAATTTCACATATTTCTGCAATGATAATGGATATTGGTTTATCTAAACAACTAAGTGAAGGTGTTCATTATGTCATGTTATATATCTACACAGCTCTATCAATGTCTATCTTAGTAAAGCGTTAATAAATTAATACATTGCAATTTTAATTTAATTTTCTTGTCAATTTTAAGAACATGTGCATTCAAATCTTAGATGAACTGAATGTTAAAATACTATACATTATTAATTTTCATAAGAAATAAAATAAGCAACATACTGAATTACTTCATGAAATCAATACAATTTTTTTTTTATAACTGTCTATTACTCAATATAAATGAGGATTTTTTTTTTTTTCGTTGTTTTAATATGTCTAGGTCAAAGGCATTTTTAGAAAGTGAAGAATTAAAAATGGTTTAACAGCACTACTTTAAATGTAAAATGATTTGAACTGACAGAAAAACATCCCAAGAGAAAAATTGTCCTAAATGATTCTTATCAAAAGATTATCGCTTTATTTATTTTTTGTTAAAGGTGGTCAAGTTTATATTTTAATAAGATGTGGTGGGGTCTAGTTTTCAAAAAGAAAAGGACAACAGAAGTAATCATAAAGCTAGTGCAGAGATCAAGTGGACTTTAAGTGGACATTTTAAAAAAATAATTAAACTGGATAGAGCCATAAGGGCTTTCAGGAAAGTAGTATTCTATTGTTCTCTATTTAGTGTCAATTTAAAAAAGTCATGAATTAAATAGATTCTTAAAGAAGGAAGTTATGTGAGTAAAAACATCAAAGGAATCAAAAAATAAATTGTCTATTTCCTTAAATTTATAAACATTCATTTAATGACAAAAATGGAAGTTTTCAACAAAAAAAGGTGAACTCTTTTATTCTTTATCCAAACCAAAAATATGAGGGATAAAATTGATGTTCCTTTGTTTCAACACTGAAGAGAAACCCACTGAGGTGTGTGTTTCAAACCAACCAGAAAACCAATTTCTGATAATACCTTCTTCTCTGTTACAACACCATTGGCAACCCAAAAGGGCAAAGTGCCTTCACTTTGTTCCTAGATGTGTGGGCAAAGTATTATAAAACATTCATAAAACTTTTCCTAATGGTGGCCATTAATAAGGGTATAAATGGGATTGGTGGGGTGGGCAATGTTTCCTGACATTAAAACACAGACCATAAAGAGTTAAAATTTTACAAATATTATAATATATCTAAGACACATTTCTGTATGGCTTAAAACTGACTAACAACAATGAATATCTAATTACCTCACTGTTTTTGGAGTCCCAGAAGATGACACAGTGCTCCAGATGGTCTGGTTTGGTGAAGGAGTAAACAACTGTGTTGGCACAGTAGCCCCACTGGCAACAATATGAGCATGTATACATGTAACAGAAGATTTTTAATATAGACAGGTCCTTCTCATAGTTTATTGCAGCAAGGACCAACATTATTTCCCCCACCCCCCCCCCAACCCCCAAACACAGTATTTTTTGCTAGAAGAGGATGAAAAAATTAGTTCTCCTAAACAGTCATCTGCATTGGTATGGCATCTTTCCGTCTGCGGGAGACGATAGATTATCTTTATAGCTTGCAGCTCTTGGTGTGGCTGGTGAGACCAATCCTCGAATGGCAGTCTCTGTTACATTTCCCACACACGAATGCGGTGGAGCAGTATTTACCGGCCTTCCTCCTCGCTCTTTTTGCAGCTGTTTCCGCCCTGTTTTGATCCTCGGCATGTAGTGATCCTGCCTTCACGATGCCCCGCCATGAGGATCGATCCTCTGCCAGCTCCTCCCAGTTTGACATGTCGATGTTAGAGGACTTCATGTCTCTTTTGCATATGTCTAAGTATCACAGACGAGGCTGTCCAACTGACCTTTTCCCTGTTGCCAGCTCGCTGTATAGCACGTCCTTTGGTATGCGACCAGATTGCATTCGCTTGACGTGTCCAAGCCAGCAGAGGTGTCTTTGGATTAACATGGTCATCTCCATTATGACTTGAGTAAAACATGCCTCTCCATTATGACTTGAGTAAAACAGGCCTCTGCATTATGACTTGAGTAAAACATGCCTCTGCATTATGATTTAAATTATTAAAACATACCTGTGCATTATGACTTAAACAATTAAAACATACCTTATAGTCCAGTCTGATATTAGCAAAGTATATAAAGCTGCCCACAGCCAGGCAAATGCGTAGGCTGCCACCTTCCCATGAACAGGAAGAAATATCAGTGCCAGGGACTTTTAATGCCCTGAGGTGCTGAAATGAAGCAACAAGCATTAGACCCACCTAACAGTGCCACCGCAAGTCAGAGTAAAGAGGGTGGGGCATTACACTCATGGGCAGATACAAGACAAAAGAGGCATAGTTTAACATAAATATTTTTAGGCCTTAAATCTGCTAAGTGGTCATCCCATGATTGTGTAACATTGCAATATTATAACTTATCTAGATTTTGTTAATTTTTTTTTTATTTTGATCCTGAAAAGGAAAATTATATATATATATTTTTTTTTTTGGTTTGGAAAGATCAAGGGGTGGTCAAATGCAGGACAACTTGACCAGACCAATTGACCAGGTCAGCATTGAGAAGTTTGGGCTAATATTAATTTGATATGTTTTTTTTGCTGGGACAAGAATAACTCTCCAACTTACCTCACCAAAGGGACTGTAAAAATAGACGAAGTTGATCCCTTTGTCTTGTCCAGGAGCTTGCTGTGTCCCGGCCATGGCTAGGATTGACCCTGTGTGATTCCATGCCACTTGGACTATCTGCAGGCCAGTGTCCACTAGGACTGGCTCTGTTTTTGAAATAGACAAAATTTAGCTTCAACTGCTCAAGATTAGAGACATCAATCCTTCTTACTGAAGATAAATGACATATATATTGCATGGGTTCACTTGAAGCTATCACAGGTTATCAATATAAATGTTTAAAGAATTAGCTTAGATATCCATGTTACTAGATGTGAAATACCTTCATCAATTTCATTTTTCATGATCTGGCAGCGTCCATTATCAAAGCAGAGTGCCAGGGTGGGACAGTTTGGCTCAGCATAACCATAGAGACCATTATACCATTCTAGGCCAGCAATGTGAATGGCACCAGTAGCATTGGTCAGACAGAACACTTTCATTTTGCTCTGCAAGGAACAGATATACCAAAGTAAGTTAACTCTTCATTGCAACATGAAAGTTGAAGCAAGTTTACTTTTCAGCTGAAGTCACTCTAATGAAATAATTCCCATCAAATATCAGTATGAAATATACATGCAAAGGCACTTTAATTTATAATAAATTTATATTTATTTCAGCCACTTTGAATTTCAGCTACAGCTATTTTTTTTTACAAAAACAGTTTTGTTTAATCACATCCAAACTGGCTGTTTTCTTCTGACTTTCTTGTTCAGTTGTTTTTTTTTATATTTAAACAAAGAAGTTATCTTCTCCCTAGTTGCAGTTGTCTCCCTTGTCAAGTCCTCTCGCATGGCACTTCAAAATGTCCATAATTTATTTATTCAATTGAAAATCCAATTTTTTCTTTAAATGCTTCTAAAACTGTTCTTTTCATTTAAGAAAAATTATGCTACATTGATCGTCAATGAAACTTAGACGTCACAAGTAGATTTAAGTATAGAAAATGTGTGTAAATTTAGGCACAGATCTTTAAATTTGCTGTAAAACAAATGCTTACAATAAAGTTGCCAACATTGTCAAACACCTGGACCTCTCCATTGGAAATACCAAACAAGATTTTCTTGCCATCTGGTGACCACTATGATTGTAGATAAAGATTAAAAAAACAGACAAAAAATTAAGTGCATATTATTATTATATTTAAAGAAGATTTATTGTTAGCATAATATATTTTTTACTGTTAAAATTTATTAAATATATAATATATCTTTTCACAATTTAAGAATTGTCCAAGTTCTTTTCTTAAATGGTTCATTAAAAAAACTGTCATGAATGTCTTGTTTTCAAAGATATCATTAAATCTGCTAGTTTAACTGTTGCAAATGAAATTAAATAATTAATCATAATATAATACATTCATTTTTAAATTTATAAAATATCTAAGCTGCTCTTATGTGTTTTATTTCAAAAAAGGAAAATAAAATATTTTACATGTTATTGTAAACCCTCTACTCTGATATCATTATAATGATTTCTGTTTCTATTAGAAATTGTCAGAATGGTCATGACCTGAGCAGATATTTTAGTGGATATCAGACAGGCTTAACTTCTAATTTCTCACATGCCCATGTAATAATAAAAAGTCTAAATCTTCACATATCAATTCTTTATTTACATCAATACTTCAAAGAATAAGAAAATTCACATATGGTTATTGGAATGATGATTAAATACAGTTCATAATAAATCCATTTCTCTTTAAATCCATTTTTCAAGTCACTCATACATTTTATCCTTCTTAACACGTGAGACAAAATCTTCTTAACTGCTTTTCCAAGCTGTCCACTATGGCCGCTAACATAGTTCTTTACCATCTGGATTAGATTCATGTATTTCTAGTCTCTCGTGAAATGTGTGATTTTTACTCAGCAGTAAATGAACATCAAATATCATTATGTCACATTAATCTAAACTTATTTTGTTCACCTCAACACAAGCCAGCTGCAGAGAGCGTAGTTCCTTTCCCCAAATACGATTACCATCTAGTGAGCCAACAATAACAGCTCCTGGAAAGTAAATGTTTATTGAAATTTATGGTACAATGAGTAATTTCTATGTCTGCATGATGGACTATTTTTTATTGATTTCTTTAGATCTCTGAGTGTAGAGAAATTTATATTTTCGGAGAGCTAAATTACTTAAGAATGTTTCTAATAGGATAATAAATGGAGACAGGATATGACTTTAATTTAAAAAGCATATAATCAGAGCAATAAAGAATAGTAGACCTATACAGCACCTAATGCAATCAAAGATTCATGTTTGCCCCAAGTAATAAAGTAACCCATAGATAAATTTTAATAATAAATACACTAAGTGCCAAATTTGTCCCCGGTTAAAAATTTAACAAATATGCAGCATACAATGCCTTACAGTGAATAAAATTCCAACTTATGCATAACTTTTACAATAGTCATTCTATTTATTACCATCTTCATAGACAATGCAAATCTTCTGTCCATCCGAAGTCCACTTCATCCCCTTGACCACAGATTTATTTCTGTTGTTGATCATTTCTTCATACCACGAGCCTAAATGGTTAATATTTACAATATGCTTTTAGTATTTGCTCTTGGTAATGACTGTAAGTATTTATAATGCAAAGCCTTAGAAATCCTTGCTTTCAAAAAATATCTATGATTGAGTTGATAAAAGCAATGATATAAGTCATAGCCAAATGGTAAAAAAACAGCAAATGTAAGTACAAAGTATAATACAGTTTAAATTTAACTTTTAAAACCAATGGAAGCCTTTGCTCAAACCCATCATTAGAGGACAACAACATAAATGTATGAAAAACTAAAAAAATATTACCAAGACAGTTTATATTTAATTAATGAAAAAATACAGCCTCTACACTACCTTTGTAGAGCATCCAGACAATGATAAGTCCACACTGGTCACTTGTGGTCAGTTTCTGGTGCTGCTCATTCCATGCAACAACTTGAACAGCACCTGAGATTGCAACAGTAAAATATTTTAATTTTTCAGTTTATATTTATGACTTATTAATTGGTCAGTAAATTTGATGCCTTTATTTAAAATAATGATATATTAAGATTTTTTAAAAATTAAATCAAGTTCAATGAGCAAAAAAAAAATCAAAAATGAAATTAAATATTATCAAACATCAAATTCATTTCTCTTCTAGATTCTAAGTTGAGTTTGTAAATAGGCAAAGTTATTGACCACTGTGTCCCTCCAGAGACTGATTCATGGACAAATTGCTTGGTGCAGCCAGGCCTTTCACTTTTGTATCTCTTCCTAAGAATAGGAAAAGAAAGCATCATTCATTATAGAAATTATACTTGGAAGCTAGACCTAGTTGATAGAGTGATTTTTGTTTCATAGTCAATCATTTTGTATGGCACCATATACTATATCATAATAAATCGCAGCTTGCTTATAATCATAACAGACCAAAAGTTATCCAACTTAAATTGTATTTGCAGACTGGCTAAATGTTTGGGATCATTTTGAAAACAAATGATAAAAAGAATTCATAATGAATTTGAAATTTTAGCATATGTAAAACAAATGGGTTCATTAAAAAGTGGCTATATTTTTTTATATGACTATAAAATTCTACTTCATCAATAGCTTAAAATAATGACAAAATATCTAAAATATTTCATTAACCACAGCATTACTGTGACCTAAACTGATATAGAGAGAAATATTAACCTGTCTGAGATTCAAGCTTGACAACTTTAAGGAGGCCATCTTCCCCTCCACAAGCAATGTAGCCATGCTGTCGATTCCATGATACACAATGTAGGCGAATATTATTGGGAATGGCAATCTGCAATTATTTTTATAAAAATAAGTATCAGCTGAGTATGTAACAAAACTTACAGTTGTTTAGTAAGTATCAAATTCTTAACAGTTGTATCTTATTAGGATGTCAGTTAATCTTAGAAAAAATATGTTATTTTGTTTTCAGGATTGAATTCACAAAGTGCAGTCACGTTTCTATTAGTCTACAGCCCAATATCAACATTTATGCTGGCATCCGTCCGTCACAATGTGACGATGGAGTGGACTTCGGTGGACGAAATCCACATGGCCTGGGATTATACTTCAAGGATTATAAGCTGGTTCCCAACAGCGAATCGCCTCTCTCCACGCCGCTGGCTAACCCAAGGGAACATCATTGGATGATTCAGCTTGGCACCAGTGGCGTCGCAGGAGTTGTCGGAATGTTTCATTGTATCAATGTTATCCGCCTTTCGGGACTCCATCTCCGGGTTTGATTTCAGAGTTTCCTTCTCTTAGATGAGTTGCCATCCAAGGTTAACGAGTCCCATCTACCCGGGGTGCTGGTGGTGTTTTTGCTCTAGCTGGAATTGAACTCCAGACCACCAACTTGAGATTTGCTCAGTTTAGACCACTCGGCCACCCAGCACCCTTAACAAGGCATTATTTTACTTAACCTAATCATCAATGAAAATCTATTTATAATCTATGTTGGCTAAATATTAAACTTATATTTTTATTTTTTTTTTTTTTTTAAAGAAGAAAAAAAATAGGCCTCTTACTATATTTCAGTATACATTGGTATTAACGTTTATGTTCCCTTCCAAATATTTAATTCAAATAAGCCCTAAGCCATTTTATTTTAGTATCAGTATTTTTAAGCACTAAAAAATAAAAGTTACAGTGACAGTGGTGCTTGACTAATGCAACCTGAAGCGAACTCTTAAAATTGCTTCCCTAACAGTTACTAACACAAACATTACACATAAAATTAATGCCTATTTAATGTTATATTATATAAACCCCAATAGTACTGCCAGGCAGGGCAACCCCTTTGCACCTCCCTAGGTTTGTCACCATTCTATATAATAATAAGTAGTAGTAGGAGCAACACTTTAAGAACAACCTGTAGCCTATGCAAAAAGACTGTTAGTTAGTAAGAATTACTTTTAAAAATTGTAGTACTAATAAACAAAGTCTAAGTTGGCTGTTTTAAAGTAGACCAGCAAAAATAAATTTTAAATAAGTATAAAGTAATAAAGGCTAAGACCTTTGCTTTACTTAGTCTTATCTAAGAAGTGGATAGTCCATAGACTTTTTGTTACCCAGAATTTTACTAAATTTATTATGTAAGAGTAGAAAAAGTAAATCTATACTATTACTAATGGATTAAAGAGTTCAACGATACTAACTTAGTCAGGGACAAAGAATGATCTCTGTTGAGACTGAAGTTTACTACTTACTACTACACAGACTACTACTACTACTACTACTACTACTACTACTACTAATACTCTAAGACTAAACTCTTCACTCTTGACTCTTGAAACTCTTCAGTACTAACTATTACTATTATTCGAAATGTCTATTTAAATTTAAATACGTTTTATTGAAAGTATTTTTTATTCTATAATAATAGTTGATTTTTCAAAATTGATCATATATACAAACCTTTTTACTTAGATACACAAACATTTCAAGAATTCAATGAATTATTATTAACACGAGAAAGAAACCTAATTTCGCTTGGTATCATAGGTAAACAATCTCGTTTAATTATCTCGGAATTTCTCGCGTCAAACGGGAAAATTATAACGCAGATTTTTAGCATAATTTAAATGAGTCCACTTTAATTGGTATACTATTGATAAATAACATTTTAAAATTTCATCATAATTTCATATAAAATCATAATACCAATTATTTAATATTTTTTACACTTATTAAGAAATATTCCGAACAGTGATTATATGAGATGTTTGATACTATTAATAATTAATCAATCTCCCCACTCCAGGAGACAGAAAAAAAAAAAATTGTTAAATCAAAAGTACAATATTTTTTTTTTTTAAATCATCATTTTTATAACATTATTAAGGAGTTGTAAATGGTGCCTTAAATATAATGAAATGAAGGAGATGGTGAAACCAATGAATGATGGCTATGCTTTAACATTTGATGCTGTTTACATATTATTTTATACTCGTATTTTTATTGTGTGCAACATACTTATATTATATTTATTATATTAAAAGATCAACTTGGACCCACCGATTATTTTCTCAAAATATCTGGAACCGGTGTAAAAAAAAAATGCCCCCCTAAATAATAAATAATTCTGGAAATTGTTTGCTTTGAATTTGAAACGTACCTCCTCATTTGAAATTTGTGCAATTTTTTATAATGTTCTAACTGTACATACGAATAACATTCAATTTGTGGCATTGACATTTCTAAAGACTTCAGTCAACAATTTTTAATTAATCATCTTTCAAATTTCAATCACCATCTATTACCTACTACTACTATTTACTATTTAGTGCCTCCAATTGTATTCAGATATCGAGTACCGCTACTAGTATAGTGCACTACAACTGGGGCAATTACTTCCCTTGTCACCCAGAGTTATCGTTCTTGACGGGGGAGTGGGAAGAATTGCAAATTTGGCTTCGAACATGGCAAAAACACAGCTTACAAGCATTTGAGACCTAGCGAGTGGAATAAATGATAAAATTTCTTTAATTTTATCTGGAGTCTATCTGTTCGGACTGTTACTGTGTACAATTTTATTGCAATAGCTTTATTAGTTTAACCATCAAGTATTTATTATACCGGTACCACTATGTCCACCCCCAATGCCCAGTGCCCAGTAGCCGTAGCTTTTATTCAAATTTGTTCTTAAGATGTGAATGTGGTGGTTAATTAGTTAAATGGGAAGTAATAGTTAATAAAATATCTTTAATTATTTATTTGGTTCAGCCCGTAAAATTGATACGGTACCTTTTTTTTCTTTCGGGGGGGGGGGGAGGGGGGCTGGTGATTAGAAATAAGAACCGAAAAAGATGGCACTCAAATAATGAAGATATGCAAGTGTCAGTCACAGTATGCAGACCACCCATATTATTTATTTGGTTCAGCCCGTAAAATTGATACGGTACCTTTTTTTTCTTTCGGGGGGGGGGGAGGGGGGCTGGTGATTAGAAATAAGAACCGAAAAAGATGGCACTCAAATAATGAAGATATGCAAGTGTCAGTCACAGTATGCAGACCACCCATTTCTATGATAGTTGATATAGGTTACTATTTTTGTTATCTCCCTCATGCTGACAGCTTGGGGCCTACTGCCCCCTTTGCATAGTCCTGCTCCCACCTCCTTGCAGCCATAGTTGTGAAACGCTTTTATAAATAAGTGGTGATGTTAAACACAAAATGAAAAAAAATATGTCCAGTAAATTTAAATTACTTTAATAATCAAGTTAATTTTAATAGGATTATATCATGTACGGTAATTCACAATAGCACTTAAAACTATTTCTTTCATTAATGAAGAGCCTCTTCATGATATTCCAGCTCTGTTGCAAGAAAACACACCTTCCACATAAAAGTATATAACTAATTATTAAAAACCATAAAGGCTCAATTGAAAAGACAAATAAATATAAGAGAAAAAAAGGGTGGTTTGGTCATTTATGAATTTCTTTCACTGAATATCTCTTTAACTTTAATTGTGGGGGTAGTCAAAGATAAGGTCAATAATATTGTTCAACTTTTAATAGGCTTTCATCCTTTATCTTCTGCAATGTATATGGCCTACTAATACTACTAACTAATATTGAACCTCTGTCAATCTTTACCTATATTTCTTTAGATAAAATGGCCAAAATTATACCGGTACATGAATCCATAGCGCTGTTTCAATACTTCTTAGTACCAGTATTGGTACTGTATGTTATTGTCATGCTTTTAAAATGTTCAAAGTTTTTCATATTCAGAAAAGAAAATATTTTCCCAAAACTGGTATAGTTAATGCTGTGGAAGTAGCATGTGGATAACCGGTAATGACTTCAATTGAAATCTGTCTTTTTAAACCAGTATATTCTTAACCATTTTTTATTTGCTGATGGTTTCTTGGGATTGTCTCTGCAAAGGTATTCCTTCTCTTATGGCAGCCAAGCTAGTGGGCTGTAGGGTTTGAACTACAGCCCACTAGTTTGAATGATATTTTCTGAGGTCACCCCTTCATAATTATTATAAGTTATTGTATCAGTAACATATTTAAACAAACTTAAATGATTATTGTATTCTTCACCATGTCTAAAAGAAATGTTTCTCAATATTAATAATTACAGATGGAGACTTTGTATTTTTTTTTCACTTAAACTTAAATATCTTTCAAAGGTATTCAACCCTAAAATTAACAAAGCTTATTCCCCTTTTATACCACCAGGTACCATCATATAGATTATACTAATTTAGTACTAATACTATGTCCTCTGCTATGTATACTATTAAAATTAAAAGTACTGTATGGTACTGTTATAAGTAGGTAATGCATTTTAGGAGCGCTTTTAATTTTATCTGTCCTTAATCTTTCTTAAAACTGACAAAAAATATAAAGAAAACCAAAACTATAACAATTTATTCAAAATTTTAAAATGGACCAAAAATTACATGAGTAAAATTTGAACTTGGTACAGACTTAAAAGGTATATAATAATTACAATAATAAACAGAAATTAGACATTTTTAAAATTATTTTTAATTCACTTTTCACGTGGGTGTAGTGTAAGGCAGTATTTGAAAACTTCAATAATCCTACAATTATAAAATTAACGTCATCGTAACCCTAATAATACTAATATTACCCCACTTCACAAAATCATCAGGGTGGAATCAAACTGTATATATATAAAGAGCACAAGGCCATAAAAAGTATAAATAGACACTGGTGAATTTTAATGTCATGTTATTTATTATGACACAACTACACATACCGGTACACCATACTGACACGCATAACAGTGACATATGTTATGTACCATTATATGATTTTAAAAATTTAATGTTTTAAAATTTGGCTCCTAGAATGAACAATGCGTAACAAAGGACTGACAACCAGTACTGGTATACAAAGAAAACGATGCTAAAGCTAGCGATACTAACACTATTCAATTTATTTTCCTGTATACAATTAAATTTTTATTAAATTACAAATTCAAATATACAGAAACACTATATCAACTTACAGCACAGTGAGTGAAAAGGTAAAATCCTTGAGAGGAGGTAAGATTTAGAAGTTGAATGATTTAAGTGAGTTTAGAAATATTTAAGAATCAAAGCTTGTATTGAAATAATATTCAGATATTTATTTGTCATTTTGGATAATGTGAATCATCCAAACATTTGAATTAAAAATCACTAACTGAACCTGCGGATAGTCTTGTACATTATTTGCAACAGAGACATAAGGCTTCTTTCATATGTAAAGTCTTTTTGGGTGTAATTAAAGTAGTATGAGGTCTTTGTAAAAATACAGAAGAACCAATGTCACATTTGTAAGGTTTCTCCCTTATGTAAATTTTGTTTGTGTCTAGTTAAATGAGATCTTCGATCAAATGAAGAAGCACAAATGTCACATTTGTAAGTCTTGTCCACTGTGTGAATTGTCTTGTGGGTTATTAAGTCAGATCTACGGAAAAATGCTGAAAGACAAATTTCACATTTAAAAGGCTTCTCTCCTGTGTGAATTCTTTTGTGTGATGCCAAAGACGATCTATGAGCAAATGCACTTAGACAAATGTCACATGTGTAGGGCTTCTCTCCTGTGTGAATTATCATGTGGGCAGTTAAATAAGATTTACGAGCAAATGCTGAATCACATATGTCACATTTGTAAGTCTTGTCCACTGTGTGAATTCTCTTGTGGGTAATTAAATCAGATCTACGACAAAATTCTGAAAGACAAATGTCACATTTGAAAGGCTTCTCTCCTGTGTGAATTTTCTTGTGGGAATCTAAAGAAGATCTATGAGCAAAAGAACTTAGACAAATGTCACATGTGTAGGGCTTCTTTCCTGTGTGAATGATCATGTGGGCAGTTAAATAAGATCTACGAGCAAATGCTAACAAACAAATGTCACATTTGTAAGGCTTGTCGCCTGTGTGAATGCTCTTGTGGTTAATTAAATAAGGTCTCTGAACAAATGTTGCAAAACAAATGTCACATTTAAAAGGCTTTTCTCCTGTGTGAACTCTTTTGTGGGATCCTAAAGAAGATCTATGAGCAAATGCACTAAGACAAATATCACATTTGTAGGGCTTATCTCCAGTATGAATTATCTTGTGGGCAGTTAAATAAGATCTACGAGTGAAGGCTGAATCACATATGTCACATTTGTAAGGCTTGTCACCTGTGTGAATTCTCTTGTGGGTAATTAAATGAGGTCTCTGAGAAAATGTTGAAAGACAAATGTCACATTTGAAAGGCTTCTCTCCCGTGTGAATTCTTTTATGAGAATTTAAATAATATTTATTAGCAAATGCACTAAGACAAATGTCACATTTGTAGGGCTTCTCTCCTGTATGAATTATATTGTGGGCAGTTAAATAAGATCTACGAGAAAATGCAGAATCACAAATGTCACATTTGTAAGGCTTGTCCCCTGTGTGAATACTTTTGTTGTTAACTAAATCAGATCTCTGATCAAATGCAGAAGAACTAATGTCACCATTGAAAGGTTTCTCTCCTATTTGTTTTAATTGACTTTGCA